TCTCGCAAGGACTTAACTATCATGTCATCAATATAAACCTCCATAGATTTCCCTATTTGTTGTTCGAACATTCGATTTACTAGGCGTTGATAGGTTGCACCAGCATTTTTTAGTACGAATGGAATTACATTATAACAGTAGGTGCCATACTTAGTGATAAACGAGGTCTTTTCCTGGTCCTCCGGGTTCATCTATTTTTGGTTTTACCCTAAGTGGGCATCGAGAAAACTGAGAGTCTCATGGCCGGCCATGGCATCAATCATACGATCGATGTTAGGCAAAGGAAAAGAATCCTTGGGGCATGCTTTATTTTGGTCTTTATAATCTATGCACATTCAAAGGTTGTTTCCCTTCTTAGGGACTACCACTATGTTCACTAACCATTCGGGATACTTTACTTCCCGAATAGATCCTATGTTGAGAAGTTTGGTTACCTCATCTTTGATGAAAGCGTGTTTGACCTCGGACTGAGGCCTCCTTTTCTGTTTCACCAAGCGGAACTTCGGGTCCAAGCTTAGTTTATGAGCAGTGATCTCCGGTGGGATCTCTGTTATATCGAGATGGGACCAGGCAAAACAATCCATATTAGCTTTAAGAAATTGAATAAGTTTTTTCCTGAGCTCGAGAGTTAACCCCGTTCCCAGGTATGCCTTTGGATCGGGAAGATGCTCGATCAATATGATTTGTTCCAGCTCTTCGACCATTGATTTTGTGGTGTCAGAATCATCGGGGATTATGAAGGGTCGAGGTATCATATAGTCATCATCCTCGTAAGTTCCCTGTTACTCTGGTTGGGTCGAGGCTGGTGACTGTGGTTGCTATTTGGCCTCCAGTTCTGATCCCTTTGCTAATGAAAGTGCCGATACCGGTATCACTTCGTCGATTGCAAACATTTCCTTGGCAGCGGGTTGTTCCTCGTACACCATTTTGACTCCTTCCGATGTTAGGAACTTCAGAACTTGATGAAGTGTCGAGGGTACTGCCCTCATGTTATGGATCTAAGGTTTTTCGAGAAGTACGTTGTACCTCATGTCACCCTCGATCACATGGAACTTTGTTTCTTGGATGGTCCCGACCATATTTACTAGCAAAATAATTTCACCTTTGGTGGTTTCACTTGCCATGTTGAAACCGTTAAGTACTCGAGTTGCAGGCACAATTTGATCTTGTAAGATGAGCTGCTCTACGACCCTTGATCGAATAAGGTTGGCCGAGCTACCTGGATCAATCAAAACACGTTTAACTTGAATTATACTCATAAGGGCAGATATTACCAGTGCATCGTTGTGAGATTTTTCGATCCCTTCTGCATCCTCGTCATTGAAAGACAAGGTCTCTTCTCGTAAGTAGTCTGGAGTTCGGTTTTCCCTTGTGATCGTCACCTTGGTGCGCTTAAATACTGGTCGTTGAGGAATATAGACCCCACCAACGATCATGTGAATCACGTGTTGTGGCTCCTCTTACTCATTCTATCTGTTTGAATCTCTATTTTTGAAGTGACTGTTGGCCCTATCACTTAAAAATTCCCGAAGGTGCCCCTCGTTGAACAGTCGGGCTACTTCCTCCCTTAGTTGTCTACAATCTTCTGTTTTATGACCATGGGTGCCATGATACTTGCATATTTGATTGGGGTTTCTCTGGGCCGAATCGGTCTGCAGAGGTCGAGGACATCTAGTATCCTTGATACGTCCGATGGCTGAAACGATGGTTGATGCATCTACACTGAAGTTATATTCCGACAATCGTGGAGCTTCTTTGGGCCCGGCATCCCTGTCAAAACCACTCTTACTCATGAGTCCCCATGAATTTTGACTTTGATCATTTCTCTTCTTATTCCGTGCAAAGATTCACCCAGGCTCGCTGCCTCTACGGTCTCCGTTGTACGGTTGATATCGATCTCTATTCAACCTTGGCTCTCGATCGATATCCCTCTTGATTCTATCCATGAGCTTGTTAGGATAAACAGACCCGGAAGGAGTCCTCAGTTGATCGTCCTCGACCCTGATCTTTGACTGATATCGATTATGTACGTTGGCCCAAGTGACAACTGAGTACTCGATCAAATTTTACTTCAACTGTTGTGAAGCTATAGAACTCCAAGTGTTCAGACCTTGAGTGAAAGCTTGAAAAGCTTGAACAGCCCAGTCATCGGTGACCAGAAGCAAATTCATTCTCTCTGTTTGGAACCGAGATACGAATTCCCTAAGCACCATTCGATAGAGTTTCCCCGAATTTCTTCAGCAATATGGATTCAATCTCGTCATTTCCTTTGATGGCGCACATATACGAGGTGACGTATTCATTTGGATCAGACGTCCCGTTATACATAGGAATCTCGGGCATACGGAACTTCTTGGGGATTGGCTTCGGAGCCGCACTCGGTGGGAAGGGTTTTTGCACAAACTTTTTAGAATCTAGTCCTTTCATTATCTATGGTGCCCCCGAGATTTGGTCGACCCTGGAGTTATAGGTTTCCACCTTCTTATGATTTTCCTCGATCTTCTTTTCCCCTATCTCTATTCGCTTCGTCAACTCTTCGAGCATTTTTAGGATAGCGGGATTTGTCTCCCATTCCTTCTCATTCAATTTTCTCGAAGTCGATTTGACCTTGTGCACAACTTCTTGGGACAGCTCGAGTTCGACCATGCTCGGCGTGTGGTTCTGATTTTGGAGCCGAGTTATTGCTTCCTACTGGGCCTGCAACATTTCGAAGATTACTCGTAAGCTGATCCCGCCATCTTCACCGTCATGCACATTCTGAGTAGCTAATCGGGTACCCCCATAAACGCTGCTTTCGGGATTGACTGCCACATTTCCATTGATAGCTACATGAACTGACGTCGAATGGGTCTGCAGCCGGAACTCCATCGAGGCCAGCAGGGGGTGCAATATTTCCTGGTGCAATGTTCTCATTCTCACCGTGTTGGCTGAGATCATTGTCAATGTGTTGAGGTGCTGACTGAGAGTTTGACATCTTTCAATCTGTAATCAAAGACACTTCAAAGGACAAGCGTAAAATAGTATGTGTTACGAAAATTCTTACCAGGCAATCACTATTATCCTTAGCCCCACGGTGGGCGCCAAACTGTCTACCCTTAAAATTGGATAACAATTAAACTTATAAATGGTTTTAAGGATATGTGATTTCACTTGGCACAAACTGAGAAATGTAAGAACTAATGTTAGAAATTAACTGTAAAATAAAGCAAACCAACATAATGAGCATTTATGGCCTTCGAGCTAGATCACCCTCGAACCAAAAGAATATGCTAACAAATGAGTATGGACTGAATAACAGAGCTTAAGAGAGAAAATGTAATGTATTGCTTTGTTATGTGTGAATGTCCTGCTTACAAAATGATTAGAACCCCCTTTATATAGTAGAGGAATTCTACTTATGGTACAGTTCTAAATACAGAAGGAAATCTCATGATTGGCTAAATGTCTGGTCTTGACTTGATACGTGCCGAGATTTCCGTCACGATCCTTGCCCGATGACGGATATCTCGGCTTTCTATTATTCGGTTTAGCTAGCTTCCTTCGATCTCACTCGATTTTTATCTCGCTTCGGTCTCGATCACGGCTAGTCTCGATCTTGATGGATCATCGACTTATGAGCTTAGCAATTCATCTCCGTGCCATGGTTTATGCTGTACGAGGTCGAGCCTTGGTCTGCCATCCCGATTTCGACTAGCCATACAAAATTAGGGAAGCTTGATTCTGACCGTACACAGTAATCAAATTAAGATTATTACATATATAAAGGTGCTGTAAGCCTCAGAATGATCAGTATTTTCCTCGGTTTGACTTGTGATATTTTCCAAAGTCTCAATTCTTTAAGGTAAAAGAAAGAACAAGCAATCAGATGAACACAGAAAGGAGGAAGAGAGAAGAATCCTTTTTTTTTTTGATAAAATGGATATTTATATTATATATAAAACTAGAAGTTGTCGTTAGTACATACACTTCGAATATGAAAATCGCCACATATTGCTGATCCAATGTTTGTGACATTTTGATTCCCTAGTAGTTTTAGTCTATTACAAGCCGAAATGTCTAGTGACTTCTTGTAGTAGTAGATTTCATCCAGATCCTTTGATAGTTGTAAGCTCACAAAATGAGGTGGACTTGGATGTATTTTTGCAGCCTCCTTGCTTGGCTGCCAAAAATCATCTTTGCATGCATTTTTTGCCAGAAGATATGCTCCTTGGTTTCCTTCACGAAAGTTATGCCGTAGGAACAGGTCCTTCCGCTGGAGCATCAATAACTTGCATGAATGAACAGTGTTAGTTACAACAAAGTGATCTTGGTTTATTGCATTGATAGCTTCAGTGGAGTCTGTTTCCACTTCTAGTGGGAATAGGTCGTAGATTGCCTGAAGCTCCGAGTGAAGAGGAGATAGGGCTTTGTCTATCTTTTGAAACCCTATTATCCATTTGCCATAATGGTTTCTAAAAACTCCTCCTATGCCTGATTTGTTACCTTCGTATTTGAAGGCCCCATCAGTGTTCAGTTTATACCAGTAACGTTGTGAGGGATGCCATTTTATGGTTATAGTGGATTTATCCGTGGGGGTTATTCCTGTGGAGTTGAAGAATAGGATTCAAAGGCCACATTACAAATGTCTTTCATGCGTGGGGAGTAGTGAGTGTTATTGAAGTTATTATTGTTTCTATTAATCCAAATTCCCCATAAAAGGAAAGGAAGAAGATTATTCCAAGTAAGTTTTAGGGGGAGGGTATTGATGTTCATGTCCTTTAATTTGGTGAGCCAATGAGTATCCTCGTTAGAAACCAGATTTGCAATTTTAGCTGTTTCCATAGGCATGAGACAATGGGGCATTTGAGAAAGATGTGAGTGATTGTCTCCTCTTGGTCTTGGAAACTGGGGCAGTTTGGGTTTATGTTAATCGGGAGAAGAATCCTAACTGATAAGAATTTTGACTTAATTTGATCTTTTTTTTCCTGCATATCTACAAAAGATTGGGAGTAAAGAATGAGTATGTCCGACTTTACAAAAATCTGTATAGGAGTTTGTAACGAATGATCAAAAAAACAAAATGATGAAACTTTCCTACTTCAGGGGAAAAAAACAAAAAAAAATATTGTAAGAATGATTTGATATCTCCTAACTACTGATCACAATATTTTTGTATCTCTTCTACAAGCGGGGTTGATTGAAAGAATGCTGCTGATTCAGAAACAGGACGTTTTTTGCTTTCAGTTGCTTCTCTAGAAAAGATAGTAGGAGTATGACGTCGAGCAGATTTAGGTGGAGTTGGAGATGTAGTTCTTGGAGACAAATACACCTCCTCCATAACGCGAAATTGGAGCTCTGTTGGATAGTCCCTCATGCATCCAATCCGAGGTCCAGCTCCCGTTGTCCATCTACAAGACAACTGATGAGCCAACTGGAATGACTTCGTTCTTCTATGTGTATTTATTCTCTTGATTATCTTTTCTGTGGGGATAGGTTCTTCATAATCTTCTTCATCTTCGTCATCAAATAAATTCTGCTTTGAAACTGATAGTTCTGTATCAGATAAATATTCTTCTGCTGTTTCATATCCATCTACTGGAGTATCCACAGGCTGTGTGTCGTCTTTTGATCCTCCCTGCTGGCCAGCCTTAGGGAACAACTCAAATACGTCTTGCCTTAGTGGTATTTGGACCGCAATTTGGGGTCTTAATCCTTGCGACCGCGTTGATAATGGAACTGAATTTTCTGCATCCTTGCAATACTTGGTAGTAGAATCAGTCTTCTCCTTGTGTGAGTGTTTGGTGTTGCTCTCTTCATTGGCTTTGCTAAAATCTGGTGCAGATAAGCTGTTACGAAGGCCAAAACCACCTTCCTTCCTAATAAAATGTGATTCCTCCTCATCACTCGGGGATTTCTGTAAAATACGAAGTAAAGCTTAAAAAGCTAAGCCACGACTAATTTAGCCACCCCAAGAGGTAACAAGATAAGTGTTGCAACTGATTTGTCCCAAAATACTAACTTCATTCGAAAGGATAAGTTTATTGTAAACTGTAGAGCGTCTTTGCTTATGCTTAAGCTTTGATCATTTAAGAGAGATGATGTATCCTACCTGGAGAACACTGACATCAATGTTATGTTGCTCAAGATATGATATAAATTCTTCAAAATTCTGCTTTGTGGGAAGATAATGTCCGCTGTGCGGCCAGACAGCCTAGATCATGCAACAAAAAAATTAGATTCATAGAAAACCATGTTTAAGAAAAAACCTATTGCAGATTTGGCAAACTTATCGCAATTTGTTAGATCTGTACCTTTAGAATACCATCTTCCACCACTAATCTGCCTGCAGATAATGTGGCTCCTCCAGCTAAGAAACTGGAATGCTGAAAAGTGCCTTTTTGCTTCATTCCAATATACAAGTCCTTCGACACGCTTAGCACAAAGATCCACTTGGTATCTTCAGGACCTCCCCTTGTATCAAGAAGCCTCCCACTCTGCTTGTAAATGAATTTTCCACCCACAATTACAACTTCATATGCCTCTCTCTCTACCTGTAATTAGTCATAACTTGCAAGTTGCATTAAACATAATTTCCTGACATATCTTCTTACTTCATGCAGCTAAATAAATTATACTAATATCCTTAGAAGTGCGAATACTTATTTTAAAATTTTTCGAAGGATGTCACAGATTATCATGGCCAAGGGTCTACCAGAAACAACCTCTCTATAAGGTCTGCATACACACTACCTGAGGAGGGTAGTGTTGTTGTTGTTGTTGTTGTTGTTGTCGTCGTTGTCGATGTCACAGATTAACTTTCCACATCATATGTGAAGTAGCATTACCTACTGTCTATTAGGCTCAACACTCTATTTTGGTTACAATTTTAAAAAATGAATATAGAAAATCCCTTCACAGATCCTTGCATAAATATCATATACCAGCCTAGATTTGAACCCCTTTTCTGTCACGTTATAAACTTACAGGAAAATTTGATCCCCTAAAAGAAGATAAAACTCACCGGACCAAGATACTTGATGCATTGTTGATGAAGTTTTGATCTAGGGCACTTCTCAAGATTTACTTCTTTACCTTCACCTATGTCCAACCTGCAACACTCGAGGGGAAAACATCTCGTTTAGTGAAGTTGAAATTGATTTCAAGTTGTTTGTTGAATTTCTTGCTGATCCAAGATAATCTCACCAATAGAAGAAAGGTTGTTTACTGTCAGCTTGGAGCCACTTGGCGTAATAAAATTGAAGATTGTGACCGTAACGATGTCTAGGATCAATCTGTTTTCACAATCATTATATCAATGGAAATTCGAAATTCTCAAATTTGTTATCTAAACTTTGTGTAGAAAAGGGTACTCACTGCCTCAAGCCAATGCTGTAAAGCAAGCTTACATGCCTTTTCATCTTTGGACAAACCTTTACCAACCTACCAATGCAGACAAAGTCCTAAATATCACAACATAACCAAAAGAAAGAAAGATTCTGAAATGGTAAAATCAATCCATACCTTAGCAGCTCTAGTTAAAGCTCTTGACCAACGAGAAAAAGCAGTTTCGGGTTTCTGAATGTCAAAGAATGATATAGAACTATGCTTGAGTTCAACAGAATCTAATACCTTCCACCTGTAAATTTCACTCAAAATTAGGAACAAAAAGAATCTGCATTAAGGGGAAAAAATGCCCCTAATCATAAATGTTTAAACTACTATACCATCTCTGCTCAACTAGAATAGCACAATCCGCTAGCCGTCTTCGAGTACGAAAACTTTTGTACGTTTTCTGCAACTTTACTGCAGCCTCATCTCTTTGTTTCTCATATACTAACGGTAGAATGTTAGTAGTTTGGTCAGGCATACTATGCAAATTTTCAGAAACCTCTTCACTGCTCGTGAGGCTATCTGATCTATTCGACGTCTTATCACCCGCATCAAACGCAGGAGTCTTTAGTCCAATCTCGGCCTCCAGTTCCCTCCTTTTATAGCTAAGAGTTCCTTCAAGGATCAACTTACCAGAACTGAGAGACTTCTGCATTTTTGACTGCTGAGAATTTTGTTCATTGAAATTAATATGATGTAACGTGGTCCTCGTACCATCATTTCCAAAACTCATTGTTCTCACTAAATAAGATTCGAACCGAGTATCTGAATCATCAAAATTGGCAAAGGGACAGGAATATGTTATTCCCATCTCCCGGCCAAAGTTTTTTGTTGGACTTCCTAGCTTGATCGAAATTCCCAAGTAAAGAAAACAACAATCTACAGAATTAAAGATAAAGTTATCAGACATTACTTTCCTCAATAGTTCTCAGGTGATGATAATGAGTACAAAAAAAGTTACACGACTAACTCGATACACTTGTATACACAAAAATGTACTCAATCATTTCTTGGTGGACCGAATTACCCGATAGCTGTATTTGTGGGAGGTTGTAGGTAGGTACATAAAGTAGCCCGAAGATCACCGTTTAAAAATAAAAAGACTCAATCATTCAATGTGAATGCCTTAATCTTGAATGTATTTCCCCCAATAAAAATTTCATGGCAAGAAACTACAATAAGGTGCATGAAGCATTAACATCTTACCATTGGACGGATAACTACTTTCTTCATGTAGGGTTCATTGCTTAATACAATGCATGATTAGAAAACTTCATGAGATGCAAAGACCAAATGATAAAAACAACAAAATGCATTGCTAAAAAGTGCCTGTAAAACAAGAAAAAAAGGGTACAACTTTTTACCTTTAATATTCCATACCTATGAGAACGAAAAACTGGGTATAAATATAATACTTCATGATAAAACAAGAAAATACATTAAAAAAGGGAATACCTATGAAAATGATAAAATGTCCATCTTGGAAGGAAAAGGTAGAATCTTGAGAAGCAATGGGAATGAATAAAACAAAGATAAGAAACTCAGAAAGAGCAAGAATTTTTTTGACTGAGGGATGTAGACCAATTTGAGAGAGAACGCAAAATGTGGGGTTTTTTAAAACAAAATTAAGGAAACACAATGGCCATTTGTTTCTCTGTGTAAAGCATTCTTTTCTAGCTCACAAATTTACTAATTTGTATTCAGAAAACAAAAAAAAATGGATAGTGATGTACGTTGACTGTCCTTTGCTATTCAGTCCAACGATTAGACCATATTTGTAGTAGAATGGGAAATGATGGCCCGACAGAAAGCAAGTCACTGGCTTTCACTCGTGAGATAGCTTTATTATTGATGTCGTCGAAAAATTGACTGAGGGTGACATCAGAATTACGTTGTCATTCGCTGTAATTTCTAGTTTTGAAGGAGCAGCTGTCACGACCCGGAATCCCAACCTCGGATCGTAATGGCGTCTAATATCCATTTGTTAGAGCCGACGTGAAGTAATTAATTAACCAAATTTTAGCAGTTAAAAATATAATAATGATATTCAACGAGAAATAAAAGTCAAGTCTAACACATTGCTAATATAAACCACGTGATAATATCTACTCTCAGAAATCTGGAGTCATAAGTACGCGAGCAACTAGAAGTCTACAAACAAGGTCTGAAATAAATACAACTGTTTCGAAAGAAATAAACAGTAAAAGCGGGAAATGGAAGGGGACTTCAAGGTCTGCGGACACCAGGAGTCTCCATATGAAATGATCCGAGCTGATGCACCTCACGCGCTGTTGGGACCAATACCAGTATCTGCACAAGAAGTGCGTAAGTGTAGTATAAGTACAACCGACCTAATGTACTCCGTAAGTGTCGAGCCTAACCTCGACGAGATAGTGAGGAGGCTATAACAAGACACCTACGTAAATAAACATGTACAAGTGTATATAAAGCAACAATAATAACAAAGAATGATAATGCACTAACTAGGAGGAGACATGCGAAAAGGGGAAGATATAATAAACACGGCAGGTATGAAATCACGAAATAACCAAGTAAATCACCACAAAAAAATCGAAAATGAGTCAAATCAATGATGTGAAAATGGCACGGTATCACCCTTCGTGCTTTTACTCTCGTCCTCACCATGAAATAATATGAATATAATGGCACGACATCACCCTTCGTGCTTTTACTCTCGTTCTCACCATGTAATAATAATATGAATGAAATGGCACGATATCAGCTTTTACTCTCTTCCTCGCCATGTAATAATGATAATACAAATAAAACGGCACGGCATTACCCGTCGTGATTTTACTCTCTTCCTCACCATGTAATAATAATAATATGTCGAATAATAAACAATGCGGAGAATAATTTAACTTCAAATATGGTGCCATGATATCAAAATTCAACTTCCAAAAAATTATTCAACAACTTTGAAATAAGCAATTAATACGAAACAAATAATCAAAGAAGTAATAATCTAACCTAAGCATGGATACCATAATTAATAGAACAATATAATACAAAGAAATAATTTTCACCCGCATGCTTTAACTCAATGACAATGTACAGGTACTCGTCACCTCATATATATGTTGTCTCCACACATAAACACACATAGCAAATAGACAAATAAGTCATAATCCCTCAAGTCAAGGTTAACCATGACACTTACCTCACTCTGCAACCAAATCAATGCTCAACCGCGACTTTTCCTCTAGAACTAGCCTCCAAACCAATCAAATCTAACCAAATATAGTTCAAATAACGCAAAATAAGCTTTAGAAACTACCCATGAGTGTAAATGATTCAATCTTTAATGTTTTTGGAAAAAAAATCAACAAAAGTCAACCCAGACCCGCTTGGTCAAAGCCCGAGATTCGGACCAAAACCCAATTATTCATTTACCCCCGAGCCCGGTTATGTGATTAGTTTCGAAATTCGACCTCAATTTGAGGTCTAAATCTCAATTTCTCAAACTCCCCAATTCTACCTAAATCCCTAATTTCTACCATGAAAAAACATAGATTAGGTTAAAACCAATTGGTGTTTATGGAATGCAAGGAAACAAGTTAAAATCTACTAACCTATGAAGTTGGGATGAAAAACCTCTTCAAAATCGCCTCTACGCCGAGCTCAAACTTGAAAATGGTGAGAAATGGGATAATTTTCGACTTTGGGATATTCTAAATCACTAGGCGTCAGGCCTGACGCGATCGCGAAGAACATCGGCATGAGTGGCCTTCGCGTTCGCGATGTCCTGTCCCCCCGACCTTCACGTTCGCGAGCCTAGACTCGCGTTCACGTAGACAACTGACCATCTTCCCCCAAGTCCCTCCCTACACTACGCGTTCGCGAGATGGAGATCGCATTCGCGAAGGGTTAACCCCCTACCACTTTGCGTTCGTGACCTTCCCTTAGCGTTCGCGAAGAATGAATTCCGCCCCTGTCCCAGTTTTCCTTCGCGATCGTGAGAGTACCTTCACAATCGCGAACCACAAAGTCACAGACACCAGCAACACCAAAAACCAGCATATTCCTTAAGTCCAACAATAATCCGTAGCCTATCCAAAACCCACCCGAGCCCCTAAGGCTCCAAACCGAACATGCACACAAGTGTAATAACGTCATACGAACTCGCTCGCTCGTGCGATCATAATACCAAATAACACCTAGAACTACTAATCGGACATCAAAATGCATCATATTTTCAAAGTAACTCAAGAACTTTCAAATTCACTACCGAGCGTCTGAATCCTATCAAATCAACTCCGTTTTGTACCAAATTTTGCAACAAGTCTTAAATAGTAAAATGAACCTATACCAAATTCTGGAACTCAAATTCGAACCCGGTAGCAATAAAGTCAACCTACGGTCAAACTTCAGAATTCCTTAAATCTTCAAATTACTAATTTTCAACAAATCACGTCAAAACAAGTTAGGGACTTTCGAATTTAATTCCGTCCATACGCCTAAGTCCCAAATTACGATACGGACCCACCAGAATTGTCAAAATATCAATCTGGGTCTGTTTACACAAAATATTGACCGTAGTCAACTCAAATTATTTTTCGTTTTCTCACATAAAAACTTTTCGAAATAAGACATGGACTGCGCATGCAAATCGAGAAACACTAAACGGAACTAATCGGGTCTCGAAATACGAAAATAAAAGCTAAAACTCAAAATGACCTATCGGGTCGTCACATTAACGGTTCCATCCAGAAGCGGATCTAGGATTTGAAGGTGGCAGGTGTCATAATTTCCTTTAATGTACACCTTGTAATAATTAATATCTAGAGTTTGTTAGAAATATTTGTTCGGATTAATTTTTTTAGCTTATTCAGGCAATTTAATTGGTATTTTTTATTTGCACATATGAAAATTACATCTCTTTCCCAGACCCTACTTGTGGGTTTCACTAGGTATGTTGTTGTTTTTATATGAAAGTACATCTCAGACATCAAGAATCAAATGTAATTAGCATTTTAAAGAAGGAATCGCATCTTTATTATTAACAATACAAGTAAAATCAATATTTTTACTAGGGAACTATACTTTTTTATGCTAAAAGTAAACTTTCCCAAGTAAAATAACATCTTCATAAAGGAATTCCACCAATCAGAATAAAAATTTAAAAAATATTTTCTATAGATAAATTATACTTCATAAGTAAATGCACAATTAGATAACTACAAGATCCTAAAAATTAAAATTATAAATCTCATAATTTTCTAGGCAATACTTCTGAAATATTCATTATAATTTAATAGTAAAGAGATATAAAATGTAATTAAGAATCATAGAATAGCACAAATTTTTATGTTATAATAAAAAAAAAATTATGAAAATTAAATTTAATTTCAATCCAAAATTTTGACCTAGACCCAAGTTTTTTTATTTTGAAAGAAGAAACTAAAAGATTTGAGATTAAGAGAAATGCTTATTTTAAGAAATTTTTAAATTTTGGAGGCTCTTTTTTAAGTGTTCTTGCTAAAGATCATAGATAAAATAATAGAATAGAATAAAAGTTATAGAAATAATAAACAACAAAAAATTTGGGAGGTAGCCAAAACGAAAAATGAATGGAACAAGAAAATAAAAAGTACAAGGAAAAGGTAAAGTCAAACAAGTTTCAACATAAATTCGAACGTGAACTTTACACACGAAAAGCTTTCAAAATGGTACCTTTGTCTACTTTGCGACTGGGCAAGATCAAATATTTAACCTAGTTTAAGAATTTTTTTAGATAAAAATATAATAATTTTACCAACCTGGTGGGTGTCATACCACCCCACCCTAAAGGGTGAATCCGCAACGGATTCCACCGGCACTAACTTATGGAATGTGTAGACATCTGCTTTGCTTTTTCTAATGTAAAAGACATCAAAAGTGGCAAATACACAATTGTTTTCTCACATAGAAAAAAGATCCAACATACTCCGTACTTTTTATCACATGAAAAAGTTTGAGGATCTTAACCATTGGTACTTTATATGTGAGATTTAGCAGATGCAATAAGGCCGAAAAATTCCCCCTCAACTATCGGGATAACTTTAGCCTTCATTTATAAATGGTCCCAAATATACCCTTGTCGTTAATTAATTGGACTATGTCTGTCCTAAAAAACTAACAGACTTCTATTTCTTACTTTAACCCATTTTAGAATTACAGTATTTAACTAATGATATGGACTGTCATGTTGGAGGAAAAACATATCCCATCCTTTTCTTTTACTTGTGTCTTCTTCTTCTTCATATCAAAGCAACTCTCTTTAGGCTAAATTACTAAAGGATTATGTAACAATCTGACCGGTCGATTTCAGCATTTACACTTTAATCCGTTATTTGAGGGCATGAGTAGCTCCGTATGATATATTATGACTTATGTGAATTATCTATTTTAGTTTTCAGGTTATTCGGAATTGATTTGGAAGAATGATTCTCAATTAGAAGCTTTTAAATTGGAAAGGTATGACCAAGTTTGACTTTTTAATATTTGACCTCGGATTGAATTTCTGATGGTTCCGTTAGCTCCGTTGGGTAT